CAGATACAGTGATTCCCCCCCCCCCCACTCACTGAGCCCAGCTAAAAGAGAACACAAAATTGTGGCCAGCACCAATTCATCATCACCAGTTTAGCTTCACCAACATACCACCAGCTCATATGCAATACACCTGGGAGTTTCCGGAGCTAGCCTTTCTGTTGTGGAAAATCAGTGGTGAAAGGACAACTACATTTAAGGAAAACTGATACGTTGAGAACAATTGTTATTGGGAAGAACAACAATAATTTAGACAATAGGGGATATGCCCACAACAAATTTCAAAGTGAACAACAATCAGGACAAAGTCTGAGTAATCAGCTCCAGTCCAAGTCACTCAGCCCCGAGGGCTAAAATAAGTCTGACGGGTGGGAGAAGCACAGACTAGTCTACTCTGTCAACCTAGCCTTCTCTGAGGGCCTCTGCGGGAAGATACATAAATGGATATTCTCAGCATTTTAGTTGCACAGGGCTACAAACAAGTTAAGGTCATGGTGCAGTGGGAGATATAGGGGTTTAACCCTTCCCCTGGTGTAATTTTGTAAGCTCAAAACTGACTTCCCTAGATACTGTCATTAGCTCAGGAAAGGAAAATAGATAGGCAAAGAGAGATATCCTCCAGTCTACAGGGTATAGTCTCAGGGGTCTCTATCAGAAGACAAAGTATGCATTGCAAGAAACAGCTGCAGGTAAATTAGCATTTGTGCCAAGCACGTTCACTCTTAAACCGCGGCCAGATTAATTATATTTTCATCTTCCCTTTAGCATACATATAAGAAGATGGGGCGGAACGAATGAAATTTTTAAAAAGCCCTTCCACAGTGCTGTAATGCTTCACTTTCAGCACATAATGGGGGTTGAAGAAAAGAGAAGAAACTATTAGGAAAGGCTCATTCACTACCCAGGCAGCTAAAGTAAGGTGCCAAATTAACAGGAGGCACCACAGGGAAGGAGGAAACAGGTATGGCGTACACCTATTACTTCTCAACCCAACCAGCTCCAACGGTCTGCAGAGACCTGGCAAGAGTGCACAAGAGCAAGTGGTCCCCAATTTCTAGGCATCCTGTCAAGCAGCAGTATGAGTGGGGAAAGAGCACATCCTCCCCTGCCACCTTCCCCTGTAGCTCAGAGGTGCTGCCTTATTCGTGGGGTAGCCCCAACAGCAGGGCACCCCACTTCTGACCTGAACCAGAAACCCACAAAACCAGGCCAAAGAGGATACTCTTGACCTGTGCTAAAGAGCTAGAAAAGGGGTTTCAGTCTAAGATTGCACAATGCACCCTCCAGAGCAATCTCCATATCCCCCACACCACCCAGCAAAAGCAGGGCTCTTTTTATAGCAGGAACTCCTTTGCATATTAAGCTCTTGGAGGATTGGCTACATTAGGGGTATTGTGTAGTGGGTTGCCGCGAGTTCCTGCTACAAAAAGAGCCCTGAAAGGTATGCATATGAAATGACCACAAGTTCCTTCAGGTAGGTATCTGCGTTTCCAAAGCCATTCAGTGGACATCTGGAAAAACTTTCTCTGAGAAGAAGAGACTGGATTTATACCCCACCCTTCATTCGAAGTCTCAGAGTGGTTTACAAACTCCTTTCCCTTCCCCTCCCCACAACAGATACCCAGTGAGGTAGGCGGGGCTGAGAGACCTCTTTCCAGAACTGTCCTTGAGAGAACAGCTCTGGCAGAACTATGGCTTGCCCAAGGTCATCCAGCAGCTGCAAGTGGAAGAGTGGGAAATCAAAACTGGTTATCCCAGATTAGAGTCCATGGTCCAAACCACTACACCAAACTGGCTCTGTCTCCATACCCTCACATATCCCCCTTTGTGTGATACCTATACCTATGTAGAAACCTTTTGTCTCAGCACCTGGCCTTCCTGTCCCCTCCTACAAGATACCGAAGAAGAATTGATTAAATCATTAACAATTCTTCCTGACACCAGTGTTCCCTCTAAGCTGAGTTAGTGTGAGCTAGCTCATAGTTTTTTAGCCTCTGGCTCACACATTTTTGTCTTAGCTCAGGAAGGATGGCTCCAGGGCAAACTAATTTATGCAGTAGCCAAATCATTTGCTCACAACTTTAATGCCAGTAGCTCCCAAAGTAGAATTTTTGCTCGCAGGACTCCATAGCTTAAATGGAGCATTGCCTGACACCAATCAGAGACCCATCTCCCCCTTGTGTCTAAGCCTAGGAACCCATTCAACCTACCTTGGTAGGACCATCATTCGTCATCAAACCCATTTAGCCTACCCTGGTAAGACAATCAACTGTCATTAATCTCATTAAGTTCTGGCCCAGGAAACCTCCCCTCAAATTCCTATAAAAATAGAGGACAAGCACTGCCTCAGTGTGCACTCTGACAGTGCCTACTATAGAGTATATCCCCAAAGCCTCTACTTTGGGTCTCCTTTCTTAGCTTGGAATGCTGGCCATTTGCGTTTTCTTATACATGGGCGTCCGCACATCTGGACAGGTAGTATAACCCCTATAACTGCTCCTTAAATGTCTCTATCATCACTTCTTTATTTCTTAGTTCTGAATTGCATGTATATTTTGATTGCTTAGCATGATTGTATGCAGGGATATTGTCTAAGAAATCTATTTGTCCCGGTTCCCCAGTCCTGGGGCCAGGCCGCCACCCCCCGGAACCCCCCAGGGTCATCCCATTTACCATTGGAAGCCCCATGCCAGCCCCGGACGGGGTCCCCACCGATGAAAGAGATTGACAAAGACACAGACACAATGATGGGGGAGGCAAGACAGTCCGGGAGGGCGTGTCACCAACTGTGCAGCCCCTGGGAGAGGATCGGCCAGCCGGCTGGGGCTACAACAAAGAGTGAGATGCTTGGAAGGGAGACGTTGGAGAGAGGAGACGACCCAGCAGACTTGTTCCAAGCTGTAAAACTTTTATTCAGCTAAAATCCAGTGGTGGACTGATATCCAAAATTGGGAGAGGGGGAAAATCCCACTGTAGAAAATCTATAAGACATTACAAAGAATGCTATGCTTACTATGAAGAATCTATGAAGAACATTATAAAAGACTAGGAATAAGGCCCGTTGTGGAAATAAATATGAGCTCTAA